TATATATATATATATATATAGTTAGCTTTTCCCCATTTTTTATCAGCTTCTTTTTTCCTTATTAACAATTCACTGAGACTTTAAATACTGGCAAATATCGTTGAATCAATTTTCAATTTTCACAGACATGACTATTAAATCTGTTAAAACGTAGTGGAGTATACATTACTGTATTCCATACATGAACTCTCGAATATTTTGATTATTTTTTTAGATCAAAGATAATCGTGTCTGTGATTAAATCGTTTAACTAAATTGGTCAGAGTAATTATGGGCACCAAAGGGTCACACGAATCCTCCTCGAGAATCTCGTGATTCAAAATCACGCACTCTGCAAATGATATATTTACTCTCGCACATTCACACGGACACTTACGTTAGGCGGTATCTAAACTGGCATCGAGATACTTTACACGAATGTACAAAAGTCTTTCTACACCGTATCGGAATGTAACACCGTCACTTGTACACTCTCTGTCCCTACGCGCTACGTATCAGCTAAATTAATTTAAAAAATGGGTTTCATCTTCTCGCTTGCGTCCACAATAGAATGTATGGTCCGTAAGCGCTGAGAATACGACAGAGACGAAGAGGCGATCGACGAATCGTCGATTGATGGATCTATTTATCGTTTTTAAATAAACATTAAATACATTTTTGAAATTTTCTGTTCTTTTAAATTGTAGACTTTAATTTGAGATTTAAAAAGATTCAATAGATCTTCAAAGTAAAACACCATGAAAATTGACTTTTCAAATACGAATAACAAGATTCTCCAAATTTAGCGATACACAAGTTAGGTTGATACAATATGTAAATCAAATACATTGTACTGTTCATATTGAATAGAACTGTTAAAACGTTGATTCAGATAAAATTTAGCAGACTCTGAAAAATTAGATTATCAAATATTACTTACTTATTAAAAGCCTTAGATTTAATTTGGTATGTAGAGATACAGTTTGATATCGTAAAACGTAGAATTTCTAACTTTTGAATTATGATTATGAAAATTTTAAGAAATTCCAGTACAAAACTTATTAGGTCACCCAGTGGTTCTGTTATTTTTAAGCTGGCAACGAAAAGGAATTATGACGATAGTGATTAAAAAAATGACATACTTTTGGTCTTGGAAGGCATTCTATATCGCTTTGTTTACGTTGTCTCTGCTTTGGTGGTATATGAGCACAAAGAAGAAGAAAATCAATATGATGATTGTATAGTTCTACTTAATCGTTTCATTGGATAGTGAAATTTTTTTAAATCGAAACCATCATAATGAAATCAATTTTAATTGTACCATTATTTCCAATCGACGATTCGTCGAGAGTTATGGTAGAATCGAAACATCATGTTGTATCTGAGATGGCACTCGCCATAATCAGCTTACATAAATCATTCGATCCTCTTTAAAACATCGATAAACGAACAAAAACGACGATCGAGAATCGCAAAAAGATTAATACGATCGCGTTCGTTCATTCATCTTGGATGAAATTTAACCAATACATCCTTCTGACACGCTTTTCGCTGCCACTGATGCATTGACAACCTAATTATTATCTTAACCTACCTGAATCAGCCATTGAAACCTCATTTCCGTTTGTAAGTACTTTACAAAGAGGAATGACTCCCTCTCATAGCCGTTCTACCTAATCAATCAAAATTTTTAAACGTAACAATTCAGCTTCATAACTATCAAAATTAACATAGTTCTTAAGAAACATGATAAACACCAATATATCCATCCAATGAACGAACTTAGGTTTCATTAACAACGAATGAAATTAAAAAGTACAACTCTGTAGTTGGAATTATTTAAACGAATTAGGTTGTTGCACATGAAGTATCATTAGACTATTTTATCATCAATGGAAGTTATCAACAATTTTCATCATTTGCGTCTTAAATTTATATGCATATTCCAGTGTTTACCAGGATACTATCTTTGATGATAGAATTATTTCCATATTGCTAAAATCTCCATTCAATAATTTTCTGTATGTATATTTGAATTCAGAAATTTCATATGAAATTGCAATCTGAAAAACGGTTACTCAAAAGAAATATTTCTAATTTATACATTTTGTACTAACAATGTAATGGGAGGATAAACAAGTGACTATTAACACTTAATTATTTACGAAGCTATAACAGTTAGAGAAAAATAATTCGATTAAATGTAATATTATCTAACAAGAATAATAAACAATAACGTTCCAAAACAAATTTAAAGATGTATAATTTAGCATCGATAATGTTCAATCAAGATTAAAAATTATCAAAATATTCAGACAACTTATTTCTGATACTAGTAGATCACTTTTTAACTATGTAGCATGGACTTCAACGATCCCGAATACTATACTTGATCATTTGTGTGTCATAATAGACACAATCAAAATTTAGTAAAATCATTTCTCCCAAAAAATTTTGTTGATATATAAACACAATAAACCGAAAGATTCTTCAAATGCGACAACCTGATAAAACTCTAGATCCAACAAAATATACCTGATACCATTCAATCCTTCAATGTCAGCGAAAGCGTAGCTCGCACTCGGACAAGCTCGGAGTCACTCTCAAAAACTCGTTCCACCTCTTCTTGTACATCAGTTACAATTTCGCGGCGAAAGAGGGAGATTGTCCCGCTTCGATCACCCTTAAGTCGATATATCTATTGCACCTCCGTCCGTTTTATAGGTTGAAGTTACAGCTGACGATCGGCGAATTGGATCGTTTCTCTTCGCTCGAAGCCTCATCCCTTGACGGATTTCGATTTCTCTCACGAGCTCCCCCGGGAACCTTTTCGTCTTCTCAGTCGATCTTGAGCATCCAGTCGATGAATCGAGGCGCCCCGGCCCCGAGACCACGGGATCTATCTGCCGAATCGCGTCCTCGCGACCGAATAACGTTGATCGGTGATCCAAGTGCCGGGACGATCGAACTTACGCCCGGTGTTTCTCGACTGGCGACGTGAAAAGGCGCGATATCACAGCTTCGACGGATCATAGTTCTCGAATGACCACCTCTGTCTCGTCGTCGTCGGTGAACACTCCTCCATTATGAGCCGTTGCTTGCTCTCGGTGATCGCTAGACACTTGTCGCTGCTACCGTGTCGAATTTGTTTGGTCTGAAAAAAAAAAAAAAAAAAACGATTTCGTTAATACTTTATGCATCAGTAGCCTATTAACAGGCTTTTAAATTTCAGTGTATATGTACAGGATGGAACAAAAATGTTGTTGGTCCCTGAAATGGGTCACTCGTGAGACGTTTTGGAACAAGTTTTCCCTTAGCAAAAATGTTCTCCGAGGCTTTGTTAACGATATATTAACGAAAAACAACGACCAACCACTAACACTAATTGTGAACACCAGGAAAATTAATTTCAAACAATTTATGACTCTCCGTCTTAATAGGAAAAAATATCTGTGTATTTTGCAATTAAAAATACGTTCTATGTCGACCTCACAATGTACCTAACTCCTGTGTAAGGATATTAAACGATAAAACTCAACAATAGTCAGAGAACGGGAATGGTGGCGCCATCCGACAGCGACATAAATAAACTTCATGTCTCATATGGATCATGCGGACACGTAAAGGTGGCTACGTGATTCTAGAGAATAAGTGATAAAGAAGAGAATATAATAAACATAAATACCAAAACTATACGTTTAATGTGTGCACATGTTTAATGTATATTTTTACTAACCACACTAACCACAGAGTTCTGAAAACACATGTATATGCGTTGCAAATGAAAAAATTCATGTCCACTACATTTCTTCTTGAATAGTTGTAAAACAATTTAGTTAAATAAATTATATTAATGGAAATTGATAAATATTTACTGAAAAAGTATATTTCGAATTTAAAAGTACGAAACCTTAAATACAGATCTCAATAGGCCTGAGTCTATACAGACTGTTTTCGAAATCGTGGTGCAAATCGAATAGGAGGCCATTCCTCGGGTAAAAGTAAGTCGAAAATATAAAATAAAATTATTTCATATGGAGGTCAGTTTTCGAGAAAATCGAGTTTGACTGTAATGAAACAGACTGTAAAACAGACTGTAATGAACAGACGCGCTTCTATTCAATCGCACGCGTATCTAGCAGATTTTCAAATTCGATTATCTTGAAAACGAAGTATCATCACACGAAAAAATTGTATTGCATATTTTCGACTTACTTTTACACGAGGAATCACCTCCTTTATAGTTGTACTATGATTTCGGAAACACCCTCTATAACATGCACTCAAAGATCAAGTTAGTTCCTAGACTCTAGAGCTGGAAACCCTAAAGGATGTGTCAAACTGGGGGTATTCAGTTTACCTACCGCTAAATGTGATATAGTTACCTACAATAATAGTGTACACGTGGAAACTAGATTTTGTACGCCCCTTGGAGACCTCGAGCAAAACACCTACACATGTTCTCAAGGATCTACCAGCACGTGCCAGGCGATTAAGAATGAGAGTGGTGGGGATGAACGATAAGGATACTCGAGAGTAAGCTATGAGGGAGAGGGAAGTTTATGAAGATTAAATACCTGGATATAAGCGAGCAATTACATTTAATTTCTACAAACTGAATTTGCTTTCCCAGTCTTTAGTGCATTGTAATTGCATTATGCATTGCTTCAGGGTTGAACAGTATACAAGTAAATATATTATCCTTCATTATACTCATTAATTTCTGAACGTGCATGACCATTCTTAACAATGGAAAGAATGAAGAAAAAATAATCTTTATTGTAAAATTCAAAATTCTTAGAATTTTCCTATTTTCGGTTATTGTTATATTATTACTAATATTAAATAGTTCCTGCGTAAACCATTATTATCTGTTTGATCGGGCACTCTTTACCAGGCATAGACTCGGCGTCAATAACTATGAAATCAATAATGTGATGAAATCAGAACGGTTCCGTCACTATTATTAAATCGTTCGCGCCAAAATGTTCACGTAAAACCGATGATAGCCTACCTGAGGATTATATACCCATTGCTGATTTCCCTTGCTGCCGTGACAAGGATAGAGGATGACATCAGTGCCGCTGTAATCCAAGCACGACTCGTCTCGACGGATCTCCCCGGTCTTGCTCAACATCCAGTACTGTGACAAACGATCAAGATTAATGCCCATGGATTTTGACCTGCACCGTTTGCCTATGACCGATGGTTCTGACAGTCGTGTCACAGATGTACGCAAGAATTTCGCGAACCGAAACATCCGGCGCATGCCCGCCGACAATTTTTCTGTCAAATTTGACGGGTACATGAGCGCCATAAAATTCTTTCGAAATTGCTGATGTGTCATATAACTGGTGGTAGAACCGGGTAGAGGGTGATTCTAAATGAACAAATAAGTTGAAAATATACAGTAAAATTTTTTTATTCGAGTCCTTGTTTTCGAGAAAATCGACTTTGAATACATAATCTAATGGAAGTAAGTAGAAACGGAATGTAATGATCAGATACACTGTAGACACGGTTCTCGAAAATCAAATCTGAAATGAGAACATTTTATTCTATATTTTCGATTTATTTTTTCATGTAAAATCACCCTCTACACGGTTGTACCACCAGTTACATGATTTCTTGTATAATAAACATGTATACGATCCCAACAATGAGATTAGCATTTCCCAATTTGATTTAATATGCTTATGTAACTTTCACTCTATCCTTATGTAAATTTTCTGTTGTTAGAAATTATAATACACCCAGGCTGTTTTGGATCGTTGTGAATCAGAAGGAAGTTTATCTAATTGATTGTAACTTTATATTAAACCTTATTGTTTATTATGAATAACTATAACGCCAATAAAGGAGTTTATTATGATTTGAGTCTTTTGAGAAGTATACGAGTTTATTATTATAGCTACAAAAATGATCTTTGTAACTTAAAATACATAATACATTGTAATTTATGAATTTTTGTCGGAGATTAGTGAAATAATTAACAATTATATGCACTGTCCCACTATTTCATTCCTTTCCCAAAACAGTATTTTGAATGATAATGTACATTCTCAAAAATTGGGTCCTTTACGAAAAACATAATGAATAATGCGTTTATAAACAATAGTACCCTTTAAAACGAATTCAAAAACATATAAATGAACTTCAATTAAAGTCACGCAGAAGTTACTTTATAAAATGACACGTTAACTGTTTCAAAACAGATAGTTTTTCGAATTCCTCTATAATAAAACTTCGTTTTTTATAATATTAATCGCTAAATCTTGAGTTACATGTCCGAAACTTCCATTATGCGACAATTCAAGAAGGGCATTTAAGTATACGAAAATGTCGGCTTTCTTGATAGAAGAGAAATTTCTTTGCGAAGCCCTCAAGACATTTTTGGTCCGGGAAATTCTATTTTCCATTAAAAGTTGTCCAACTTCTTAGCGCAAATTGAGAGAGGTCACATTTCCATACTTACTTAAATTACTTGAACAATCTAGTACACTTGAATTTGCACAGGTAATAGGAATTTAATACTTTAGACATTTATGGGCCTCGTAAAACGAAGTTGCTGGGGTGTAAGTCGAGAAAAATTTGTCGACGTTCTTTAAACCATCTCAAACGTTCTTTTTTCTTTCCGAACTTCTTCATACAGAAAAACTATGAAACTTCGTAACTGAAGTAAAAATTACAATTATTAGTAGAACCTTCCTTCCTTCTGATAACTTTATAAGTTCCAAGTAAGACATCGATACAGAGGCAAGAATGGACGAAGTAGATTAGAAATATGCAGCATATTTTATACTATTAAAAACAAACAATAAGAAGAAAAATATAAACAGAGTGTTCCCTTGTTTTCCTTATATATTCATACATTCAGTATTTAACTATTTTAAATTCTTCTAGTGACTCTATGATTGTATTGTTCTTATAACTTACGTGATATGTATCGAATATTCCTCTGGCATATTTATTCGGATAATCTGTGTTTACAACTGTACCCATTTTACATTAATTGTATCATGTAAATTCGATTTATAAAACTTACTAATTAAATGGACCTATTCTATCAAATGTAAATTTAAACAGACTGCTCTGATAATTAGAACAGGAAAATTTGTATAAGAAAACTGGAAATTTAGTAATGACGTAAATGATAAAACCATTTTGTGGAATTATTTAAACAGCTGTTTAAACAAACCAACTAAAATTGTGCTGTCAGAACCATCTGTTTCAGAAATACAAAATGATGAAATCATGCGATAACGAAATTGAAAGCAGTAAGTTTACAATAGCGGAAAGCTGTGATTAGTGACATGCACATGTTAGAACCAAGCATTAACATTTTTTTTTTTAACAATATTATGACCAATTTAATGCTTTCGGTGGATATATCACCTCATCTAACCACTGTCTACATGTCAATCGATTGTCCAATTATCTTGCTTCTAATTATCGATAGTGATCCACCATTAATGTCTTCGCTTTGAAATGTAATCACTTGATCTAATTGGAAACTGTCTGGCAGCTGTCAGTGTCGTATCATAGACATCTGTTAGTCATGCAATCGTCAGGAACAATCATTTATGTATAGTGGTTTTGTATTAACACATTCGTCCTTCTGTCGAAGCGAATCTTATTAGCTTGTCGCATAATAAATGTCATTTTCCGACTGTGGAGCTCCAATGAGTATAACTTACTATAAAATGAAGATTTTCAGTCGACGTAAGATCGAGCTGTATTGATTTCAATTATTTTCAACGAGTTACAAGTTTGATGATCCCAATTTCGTAAAAATTAAGATGTTCGAAAGACGACGTTTATTCTCCAACAACTTACTATTATATCAAATTAAAAACAACATTATTTATAAAAATATATATTCAAAAAGTCTTTTTAAACAGTTTTAAAGTGGCTATTGACTCTGAATTTTATACAAACAAATTTTCTGTACAAGATACCAAAAAAAAGAAGTGAACAGGTTAATAAATTTAATTTTAGACAATCGAGTCCGCTATAAGTGTCTGAAATTCACAGTCTACTGATCATGAAGACGATTATTCCGTTCACGTTTGATGTTACCAGTGCCAAATTGTATTCTCCCAATCATTCGAACACGTCGAAGTCATCGATAAACAAAAGTGGTGACTCTATTAGAGGCGAGCACGGTCGAGCCGGTCGGCAGACGTAATTACCGTGAAACCGCGGCTTAATTGCTGTGGCAAATAGCTGAATTAAAGCGGCGCTTTACGAGGACCCCGGCGTGCGCCGACTGATTGTGTTTTTGGTTGTAACTGGCTGTCACGGTTGTTAAACCGCGACCGGAAACCGGGGCTTTTGTGCGAAACGACGACGCCGGGGATTCACGCGAATGCGGCGTGTCCCCGTCGTCGTCGTCGTCGTCGTCGTCGGCGTGAATTTAACGATGAGACGAGTACCTGGTCGCGGGAAACGGATTTCCACGTGTTCGACGTGCGTAACGAGCGCTCCACTTCTTTTCTCTCGGTGAAACAATTGTTTTGTAACGTGTCGACTGCTCGTACGAGCCGGCGTTTAATTTTTCGACAGCGTCACGTTGGATTGCGTAGATTTATGCTCGATTTAGTAATAAGTAATAAATAAGATTTCCATCTTAACAATCAACGATCAAATGCTTTTTCAAGTGCTAAGTGAAAGCCTATTAGTGTCAGGTAGCTGCATACGAAATGATGGACTGCATCGATCTTTACACTATATTATTTCGAGAAAACGTTTGTTGAAAGATGTAGAAAAACCAGTAATTAATAACATAATCGAGGGCTGATAATTTTACTATACGACGCTTCTGTAGAAAATCGAATTTGAAAATTTGTCGTACACTAATAACCGAAAACGCATAGAAGAACAAAACTGCATGAAATTATTATGGCGTCTGTTAAAAAAAGAATAAATCTGTTAAAAATAAAATATAATTTTTTGTTAGTGCCATATAATTCCCAACCTTTTATCCTCTTTCCTAAACACATTGTATAATATAAATAATCCAAGACCAAAAAAAGGTGAAAATCCCGAAGATAACCTACCGTGTTAATGTTCATAATTCGAAATCGAAAAATCTTTCTAATTTCGTGGAATTTAGGTGGGGCTCAAGTTATATCTCTCCACCGAACCAGAAGCAAGTAGAGTTTTAAATATCCCATCACCAGCAAGGACCCAGCCGTGACTAATAAATTCGAAAATTGGCAACGAACTGGGGTATTAGATTGAACCACGTGCCCCGCGGTTATTCCAAGAAAAAAGTTTATCCAACCATTTTTATACCATCGATTTCGTAAATCGTGTACCTGATTGCCGCCCTGGCGGTGACAGGGATATAAACCCACTGGCTGGTGTAAGTCTTCCGGTTTCCCTGGCGAGTCTATACATATGCTGCTAACGAGGTGTCTGATCTGAATCGAAATTCAAGAAAAGTACAATTACTACCTATCGTCCGTACCTATCGATAGTTTAACTAACATGCCTTATGTAAATGTACCAGAAATTTCTCACAATATCTGTCCTCTCTAGTTTCAAGAGAGTCAAGTCGTCCTGCTTTTTGATTTTGCTTTCTGATCCTAAAGAAGTGGAAGAACACAATAGAAACGAGGGACAAGCTGAAATGCAATTTGAGACATGCAAGCGTGATTAGATCATGAGTCAGCCGATACCGGGTCATTTCTGACCCAATGTCATATGTTGTACGTAACTATAAGAAATTTAAAAGTTTGTTAAATATGTGTAATATATTTGAAAAGTACAGTAATATTTTATGTACAATCTATACATGGATTAAACAATGAATGAGATATTTGTACTTTGCAAACATATTACTTTTTTTTTATTTGTAGGAAGTATTGCATAATGATACTTGATGTTTTAGAAGGTACATTCAAAAGAAGTATGTATAACAAACATTTTGATATGGGTCACAATTGATCCGGTATTAAATGATCGGCTGTTCAAGGGTTAAGGATTAGTTAGATGGTTAGTAGTTAGAATTTTCGCTTCACCGAATGCACACGCAAGGAAACAGAAGCGACACGTCAGGGCCAATGTAATGATTCCGTGCGATCTATGGGGTTCAGCTCTTCCAGCGTGATTTGTACCTGATTTCCGCCCTGTCGATGGCATGGGTAGAGCCCGGCCGGTTTGTGCAAATCTGCCTTGCGTGCCGGTGAATCCAGACAGGTGTTGCCTCCCTCCCCGAGATTACGAACCTGTTCATTAGTTAGTACAATTCATTTCTGGGATTAACGACGTCAAGGCTGAAACTGTTAGCTACCACCATAAAGAGGTGAGGGGGATGAAATATTTACGAAACGGGCGCAAAACACCGGGACAAACGAATCGATCGTACGCTCCAAGAAGACACCGACGATAAAAATAATAGAATTATCTCGCGGAAATATTTCCCACGTCCGCGGATCCCGTTTTACCGGGGCTCGTGTTTCGTGCCGAAAATATTTTCCCCCGATACCATCGCCATCCCCCCCTTCCACCCCATGATTCACCCCGGTGTTTGCGTACCCGGCAGGAATATTCACAGCGAGACGTGCATTTCGTTGCGCCCGCGGCTGGAACAACAAGATACACAAATCAATACATGTGTAACAATCGAATGAGCCGCGTGAGCTCGTAAAGTTGTCGAACGAAAAAAAAAAAAAAACAAATTCGGACGTGCGTCCGGCCGGATCGCTCGGGAGCAGACTTTTCTTCTCGGGCGATCACGGTGTATAGGTGGTCCTTTGTACCGGTTGAAGTATTTATGCGAGGCACGAATTTATGGGCTTTCAATTGTTTTTCGTCCACGTCTATATTTTGCTATCTGGTGGAGAATGGTAGATTGAATTTTTTCGCGTGTCAAACAAATCTACAAAACTTTTCTTAAAAATTTTGCAATCTATCAATACCTATGCACAACAACCAGCTCCAAGATTTTACCTCAACGTATCCACCAGTTTCCCAATTTCTCGACGTTCGATAACTTCGAGTCTCGCGTTTCTCACCGAATATATCCGACCACAGAACTGATCGCGGCGGTCTCGAATGGAATCCATTGTTTATTTTTCAGCAACAAATCGGAATTGAGCCGAGCTCCTGTTTCGTTCACGAAAATACACACACGACCCGTAGAATCGAGCCTTTTTTCGCGCGCGCGCGTATTCATGGAAACGTGCGCATTCAGTCACGGAGCTCGGTCAGCAGTTCTGATTCCGGTGCATGCAAGAATTCTGTGGTCGCTGCAGTTTCACCGCGAGCATCTTCATCCTCTTCTCCTCGTCGTCGTCGTCGGCGAGCTAGAATAAAAACTGGTGATTTATCGTCACTGGTGCCAATATAATTCTGGACGGCACGTCGACTAGGTGGATTCTCGTCAGCTTTATTAGGATCACTCAGAAGCTCCTTTTCCGTGGAATTAATAATTTGTAGGAAATTGTGATTTCTTTGTGGATTCGAGAATCGAATTTCGTTTAATTAAAGTATTGTTCACGGTAAAGTATCCATTGATCGAGGGTACAATGTTTGGCTTATGGTTTTCTTTCGTTTGTTACCAAATGTAGTAGTAGAAAATATTTAAAAAAAATACAAGTTGTATATCTTTCGAGACTTCTTTGGAGATCTCTGGAGGCTTCAAATGTAATTGAATACTTAAGAATACTTTGGATTTTTATTCCTTAGGAGAATCGTGTAGTGCAAGGTTTGGTCACTTTCGATTAATTAGAAATTCACTAACGTTTACCGATTCGCTTTTTAATTAATTCATTAATAGTAATCGACTTATCGAGAGTCAAATATTTTCAAAAAGTTGATTTCAATTTAAAACTTATTTTCATCCTGAATTGTCCTCTCATGAATTGGATCATGCAATTATGTATAAAACGTGAACAACTTCGAAATCCTACCATAATCTACAATAAAAAGAAAACAGTAGAAATGTTTATAACATAATTCAATGATCTATGGAATAATTTCTAAACCGTGAATACCTTTTTTAATATCCTACCATAATTGACAACGCAAAAATATGATAGAAGCTTTCATGATTTAATTTAAAAATCTAGACAATTATTTCCAACACGTGAATAATTTCTCTACAGACCGTATAATAACTCGCATGAATCACATTTGCATCCCGTAGATCCACGACAGTTACATATTCACCTGATTCGTTTTTTGTTTTTTTTTTTTTTTTCCAAAAAAAAAACGGGAGGTGCAGCGTGATTCAACCAACTCTCTAAAAGGGGGAAACGGGCCGGTAAAAAGGCGGGAAGCGAAAGCAAAAAAGTAGAAAAATCGACGGCGAAAACATAAGTTTCGAGTCGGGACGGACGACTCCGTCCAGGCGAAATTGTTATTTCGCATGCGACGCGAACCGCATTCCGAAACGCGTCCCGTGAAATGCTTCTTCGTGGAAATGTCTGGCCATCCTTTATGCCTTCCTCCTATTTACCCGTTGTGTAAGAATTTCTACAGCCAACAGGCGAGGATGCCAGTGGGCGCGAAGAAAAAATATGGCAGAACGGATCCTATTCCGAGGTTCGACCCGCGGGATTGAGAGTCTGCGGAGGATGCTCGCAGAACTGGAAGAGGGTTGTGATCGATACGATTCCTATGGTATAACTGTGAACGACACTTAATGCTTCCGCAAGCTTCCTTGTGGAAGTCGATCGAGGATGCCGGAATAGGTATTTGTTTTCCATCCATCGTTTCTTTTACAACCATATTTACGTTACTGATTTTATGCTTCTAGATGCGAATATACAAAATAGAATAATATTCTTTCTTAAATATTGTTAAAGAGTATCAACATTTCATTATGTTACCTGATAAAATACTGAAGTGGAAATAGCGAATGTTCAGGCATCAAGTATCGGGTTGAGAAGTCTGACCAAGCACGGATCCCATTTCGCTTATGGACACTATATTATATTCTTTCCCCCACAGACGTATTACACATTCAGAGCAACAAAGTTTCGTGAACTCGGTTGAAATATTCATTACTATTCCATCTTCCTCAAAGAACGTGTCATAAGAAAACCGATGTTACCTTCATCTCGTCGGGGTTTGTAAGAGAACACGTGTAAATCATGTAAGATTAACCGAGCGTTCTTCTAAGAACGTCACAATCGATCATGATCAAGAAAACAGAGTAAGGATGTAATTAGTGTATAGCTCGTAATGGATCGTTCATCTTGAGTGCTTTCTGCTTTGAAGCGACTGTTTGCTTCATTAGTGAAAGGAAACAAGATCTCTGATAACAGAATAGTTTCTAACTAAACAAATTTTAATGTAATACTAGAGTCTATTAATTGAATATATTGGAAGAGCACAGTTTATGCTTTATTACTGATCAATTGCAATAAAGATTTCTTAAGCTATAAAAATATACGGTATTCTACAACACCCAAGATATAAATTTTGTACTAGCAATAGAAACATTGTAACCAAAAGAATTACAAATAATTTATAATAAATTTATGTCTTCGTAAATAACATTAATTATAAAATATTAATACATTTATCCGCATTAATGTGCCTATCCATTTTACCAAGTTCCTCCTTATGTTTTTGTTTCTAAACATTAACTATGTAGTGACATAAAAATGTTAAATAAAGATTCACTATTGTTCATATCAATTTATTGTTAAATAGTACTGACAGCGATATGAAGAAAATAGACAGTGAATTTTGTACCTTTATGATGTATAAAGGTACGTATTAACTTAATTCTATATCATAAATCGCCCTTATTCTCTTTTAACTCGATATCCAATAGCGAACAATTTAATTCATTCGTGTATAGTTTCTCGGGTAATACTAAATTGTGAAATTTCTTTCAAAAATGTTTGACTTCTGACATCGTCGGTTTATCAACGGTACGTGGGTTTAAGGCAAAGCACGCAATATCCAGGCTGCGTGATACTGCAATTCACGTGGAAGCAGGAAGCCTTTAATCCGTGTCTCTCCCAGGGATTGCGGAGCATACGTAAAGAAAGGTTAAGCGAATGATGAAAGGTTCGGCGATTATGCAACAAAGAGATCGATTTCTAACGATAACCATGAAATAACTACAAACTTACGCAGAACTGTGAAAACAAGATTAAATACAAATTATGGATATATAATTTTTAACCTTAATCTTTTATCTCATATACGTGTTGGTTTTCTATAGATACAATTCTTTTTCTGTTTTAGTACAACCAATGGCAAAATATCCCTTTGTTGCTATAAAAATTTTGCTGTTGCTATCACCAAGCTTTGTTCTATTAATTCTACCAGAAGTAACTCACTATTTGTTACATTAAACAGATATCACAGTTTAAATTTTTGTCGCGAACTGTATCTCCCCCCGAACTTTTCACATTTTTATGTTTTGTCGTTGTACTTTAAGTTTACGAGGCGGTAAATAAAAAAAAACATAGAAGACATTAATTGAACGTTAAAAGTGTTATGAAGTGCTTACAAAGGGAAACGTCGACAAGGGGGTGAGAATGGTGTACATTTTGCTCACGCGATCTTGTACCTTACACTGCATTTAATTGCCGATTGGAATCGTGACCTCGTCGATATTTTAGACACGTTTCATGGGGTTCGACGATTTTGCTCTTAGAGCAAACAGCTTGTTCGCAAAAATCAGATAGACGAATTACTGGTATTAGTATTTTTTCTTCCTGGCATGAGAAAGTAATTCAAGGAACACCGATATTTCTGTCAAAATTACATACTATTTAGTTGTAATTCTGCAGATCGATTAAGTATTTCATTCTTTTATGAAAGAATACTTTCTAGCTTCAGGAACTGGTTCATATAACGAATGAACAAATTTCATAAATAACATATATAAAAAAAGATCCAGTCTGGCCATAGACGTTCCGTTACTACTTACATTCGCCTCACGTCTGTTCGTTCAGAAAAATGAATTGCACGTCGCATCAAATTACTACCCCTGAAGTTAAAATTGTGTCAATCAACTTAATTATCATTTTGTCCTTAAATCAATATTCTACTGTTTCTTCAGAAAAATTACTTTTATCTCGAATCAAATTACTACCCGTGAAGCTAAAATTGTGTCAGCCACCTCGATTATCATTCTGTCACTGAATCAAGATTCTACTGCTTTTTCACAAAAATCCGTTGCACGTCGAATCAAATTGCTACCCGTGAAGCTCAAAATTGTGTCGACCAACTCCATTGTCATCGTGCCACTAAATCAATATTCTATCTCATATTTTACCCAAGACAAATTGTTACTTCACACGAAGCCAAGTCACAGAAAAACCGATACTATCTTCGCCCTCTTTCTCAAACAACGACCACACTATTCTTCCACTCTAGATTACTTAAGAAAAGTACTCCACAGTCTCGTTACAATTCCATAACACGACGGACGCGGTAACCGGTCATCGATCAAATACATCTACAGAGGTCCGGCCGAATGTAATGGCCCGTTAGGAGCAATGGGCCCACACGGGGTCGCGGAGATTATCGGCGACAGGAGCGACAAGCTCGACAATCATTTCGCAATTACGAATGCAGGGAAACAGAGGGCTGCCAGACGCCGGCCGGACGGCGAAGGAAATAAATCGAAGCTTGATTGATCGCCGCTTCCACAGAATCCTCTATGGAAACGGAATTAATGCACTGTCAATCGCGGGGACCAGCGAATTCCAGCAGTTATACGATCCATGGTATCCGCGATTTTGATCTAAAACAATGGTTCTTCAAGGGTTAGGTCACCTTGACAGCTTGAAAATTATAGGTACCTTTGTGAATGTTTTCTGGGAATACAATAAATTATACTGGATATCAGTTACAAAATGTTCAGTTTCGTAAAAAGTAGGAGTATTTGAAATAAGAAAAAACGATTTTAGCCAAAAAGTTTCATACAAAGGCGCCTGTAAAACGAAAAGTTTTCAAGATGTCGAAAGATCTATCGGAAAAATTCGAAGAGGAGCGGCAAGTACCAAATACGTGTTTCTTATTTTGGCTCGTTGTCATATTTAAGGAGTATGAATATATTAGCAATAGGAACTTTTGCATTTTTTTTTTGCTATGCATTTTGAGGGATGTTTTCATCCTCTAAATATGAGAAACACGTGTTTTATATTTCTCAGCCTTATAAAACATACCCGAAAATCAAAGCAGTCAGAGGCGTACACCTGAAAACCGTTCCTGGTCAGTCCCGATATGTCCCATTCGCCCTCTTTGTGACGCGATGCTATATGATCCAATTCGTGGATGTACCGTTTCGGCCAATAATGACAATATGTGTACCCAGTTTGTATAATTATGTGAGAAAAGATAGGCCTATAAGGCGAAGATTGCACTATAACCGAAAAAAATTCGCATTCCATTCGCTAGTCAACTTTTCATAGTATGCACACAGTATCTCTATCGTGGATTTTCAGACGTTCCAGTTTCGAATTCTTCCACTTTCGTTCCTTTTTCCCCAGGGTTCGAATGCTGCTGTATCGCGGATAACACCGTGGGTTGAGGGTACCGGAATATTTTTCAATAGAATGTTCAAAGCGTGACACTTGCCGCCGACTGGGGTGGAAACGAGGAGAGAAACGCGGTGGAATTTCATACCGCGTTCCGCGAGCGACCTCGATGACTAATGTTCGATCGGAGGCGAACCGAGAAATTGTATACTGACAGGAAACAAAATAGTGACGATTCTAGAATCGCTGTGAAGCGACTGAAGAAGAATTTTTCACGTATTCTACTAAGGGTGGATGATTAAAAATGTCTATCACTATTGTTTTAAGCATTCATTTTTACTGATAAGTAATGGAATATGATTGCAACTCTAATCAGTCTAGAACTACCGATGTAAAACTTTTCACGTATTACACAAAGGGTAGGAGGTTGAAAAAGAAACGTTCTGCCTAAAATTGTTAATTTCCATACAATTCCGCAGTCTTGTTATAATATTATCCCAGTAATGAAAATTTGTGTGGTCGACGCGTTGAATATCAATTTACAGAAATCTGTAAAGTCTAATTAATGATAACCCCTTAATATAGAATATTAAATATTTCCTCTCTGGCAATTTCTTAGTACGCCTTTAACAAAAATCCTCCATTTCATCGTTAAAATACTGCCAGAAAAGCGACAGAACTTTCGAACAAACCTAACATATCCCGCGTAAGATGTAAGTGATTCCTTTAGAAATTCCTTTAGATCGTCTACAAAATTACAAACTTACGTTCCAGCGACAATTGCCTAATCCAGTGGACGTAAATTGGCGCGAACAACAGCCGGGAGCTCCAGGAACAAACCGAGAGAACTTTAATCGCGAAATCGAAATCGAAAGCCTCGCCAATCCCTCGGGGGAAAGGTCTTAGCTGGCGGGCACGTTTGATTCGCCTCCATTATCCAATGACTACCGACTTCGTCAGTGATAGCCAAGAATTCAACAAACCGATCGAGTAGAATCGATTTCCGATTGAACGTCGTGGAGACCTTCATGCCGACCCTATCTGGATCGTCTCGACCGCGGGACTGCATTGTTTCCCGACCGAAGGCATTGTTTTCTGTCGCAAGCTTATTCCATCGACATCAATCACCGTTCCAGCTACCAACAATTGAGTCTCGCGTTTATAACCGAGTATATACGGGTGCATACCGGGTGGAATGTAATTTCTGATACTAGTAGAAAGTGTTACAATATGTCCTTACCTATTATTGTATATGTAGATAAAAATCTAGAATAAAATGTAGAATAAAATTTTGTATACCAAGCACTCATTGGGAGAAGATTAATTTAAAAAATGGTTAAAATCAGACACATGTGCATTTAAGTATGACTGGATCGTGTGTCTGATCAGTGATGGATGGTTCTACTTGAAACCACTGTATCGGTCGAAATATTGTATTTCGAAAGATACAAGAGTTCTGGAATACCCTATAAGTTACATGAAATTATAAATTAAGTTTCAAAATTCATCATGAGATTTCAGAGTCTAATGTGACTTTAAGCCTCACAATATACAGAACCAACGTGCGATCGTCTCCAAAGAAGTTTCTTCAAACAATTTATCGTACTCGCATACAACTATACATAATTATAGTTCTCACTGTAATTCCAGTACACTTACTAAATTTGTTCTTATATATACAAATAAAATTGAATAAAAGGATAACAACAATACAAAATTATGCCAAAAATTCTCCCTCGATCAATTTACCAAAGTAAAACAGAAATGAGTGTTTTCAAAGCCTCATCCTGTATACAAAAAAAAAAAAAAAAAAAAAAAAAAAAAAAAAAAAAAAAAAAAAAAAAAAAAAAAAAAAAAAAAAAAAAAAAAAAAAAAAAAAAAAAAAAAAAAAAAAAAAAAAAAAAAAAAAAAAACAAACAAAAAAAAAACAACATGAAAAATATACAAAAATCTCAGAGAACTAGATATCCACGTCTCTCTCGACTAACAAGAAGATGTCACCCGAAGAGCTATTCGAGAAAACATTACCAACCGTTTGCTTGCCGCGAACAAAGAAAGAAACGGTGGAGAGTGGATGGAAAGGAAACCGCCCTTCGTTCATTTATCCTTCCACGGATAGGAGCCTCCGAGCCAGTTAGATGGTAACTCAACACCTTGATGGATCAAAGTAGCGGATAACGCTGTTAGGAGAAACGAATGGCTCCGTCTCGGCTCCCGGTTGATTCCGATATCAGCGTTCACCTGCGGGGAAGAAGATACGATTTGGACACGTGTAAATCCTTACCTCGCCGGAAGCCACAGCCTCGCCTGGTATGAAGAGCTCCGGGTAAACGTTGTCGAGGTACCATTTGAACGACTTGCATCCGAGCTTCTTCCTCAGCGTCTTCCGGTCCGATACGTCGCCGTAGTTACCCTGTAAATTATAAATAATAATTTATGAAAATTTTGTCTACCGAGGGAATTATCATTCAGTATTATGTAATTATGTAATAGAAATATCAATGGAAGATTTGTGCAGATTGAATGGGGGACAGGTGGAAATAATACAGTGTCATTGAAATAATAGAGTGGCATCGAAATAATAGAGATATATCGCCGTAGTTACCCTGTGAATGGTGTATAATAAATTACGGAACTTTTGTCTATAGAGGGGAATATCATTTTGGTATTATGTAATTCGTTTATGTCACGTAAATGTCAATGGCAGACTTGTGAAGACTGAATGGCGGACAGGTGGAAATAATAGTGTGTTTCATCAGAAAACATATATTTAGTGAGACAGCAGGGAATCGGTCACATAATCGTAAAAACGACGTAGTGGAATGCGTGACTGACCATAGACTGTATCTTACTACTTGTATTCTCTCCTCGACTTTTGCTTCGTGAGAACTGATTATAATTTGAGTGAAACTGATGTATGTAATTATGTAAAACGGACTGATTGTCCGATTCTATATTTATTGTATTTCCAAGCAAGCCGAGCTCGTCAGACGTCTATTGTACGATGTGTCTCGTAGACACCTTTTGTCTCTTGCTAAAAGATTTCTGTGCCCCTTGTTACAATCGAAACAGCCTACTTTACTCCTAGAATCGTTGCGTTTCAAAACGCTTCTGACCTGTAGAGTGTATCCAACACGTTTATCGCGTTCCGATCACAAAGGGATAAACTGGCACATGTAAAGTTAAAATGACATCTAACAATTCAATTATCATTACAAGTCAGTACTCTGTTCTTCGTGAGTTTCCTTTTTATAAATAATACGTTGGTATTTTACGCAACGGTGGATAACAGACGGAACTTCATAATCGAACAGTGAGACCAGAAATTTTGCCTACCGAGGGGGAACGTCCTGGAAAATTCGCCGGGTTTTCGATGGGGGACGGGTGGAAATACGAGAATGTCGTTTCCGGGAGCACGGATTTAAAGACACGGAAGGGGGATAGGAGATATAGTCGTAAAAAAAGGGAACTGGAAACCCGAGGAAGAAATAAAGGGCGAAGAGAAACACACGGACCCTTTTATGGACATGAGTTTAGAGCCTCGATGTGAAATAATGGGAATACTTGTTCGGGGTGAAAGGACGATTTATGTTGTCGATGCGCGAGGAATCTTGGACAATCTTTGGACAGGTATACGGGGTGTCTAGTATATCTTAGTACAATGGAGGAACAGATGAGTTTTCACGTAAGAGCAAGTCGAAAATGTTCATATTACTTACTACATTCACTTGAAATAAACGTTGATGATAGTACAACGGTGTATTTGGTTGTTATTATCTGATACTATAATATCTTGTTTTTTGAAAATGTTGAGAAGCTTTTCGTACGAAAATTAGTAACAAACACCTCCCCCCTCCCCTTCCATGAAATAACCTTATCTCATCTTCTTCACTCACTCTTCTTGTATTTGTACTCACTCACTGTTTCATTCAATGCACTACGGAAATTTACACCTAACAAACCAATCTTCAAACGTAACTTCCTCGTAAATGTAAAACGTTACTTCCATTTTTACCATTCACTTTCAGCATTCAACATCCTCCTCGATGCCTCACGTACCCAACCACTATTCAAACTAAATAACAAAGACCCCCCTCTAAAAAAATCTTATCTTCTTCACTCACTTTTTTTGTCTTCGTATTCACTCACTGCTTCACTCACAGATCCACCACTTATACATACAGGAGCATGTACACAGACTCACAGCCAAAATCGCGATATACCGCCCGAACATTCGGATCCTCTATTTGTCAGCACCGATTCGCAGCATTATATCCCCATCAACGTCCTCTTTATAAGAGATCCTAGAGGAAAGGACTCGAGTGTCACTTGTTCCAGCAATATAATTCGACGTACGCGGTGGTGGTGGGACAAGGGGAGGGGGGTGGACGATTTATTTTTATCCTATCATTCCAGTCGCCCGATCGGATCCCGTTCCAGAAGGACAAGCTGCCAGGATAAAGGATAGGTCGTTATGGCCGAGAATAAAAGAAGCGTCTCTCAAGGAAGCCAGGACACGCGAGCGATCCCGAAGAGTACTTGGCACGTTTATAGCCCCCCCCCCCGCCCCTTTTTACGACGAGTCTCGGTCTACGCTGCTCTCCATCATCGGCCTCTCGGTTATCGTCATCCCTTATCGTAACTATTCCGACGAACGCGTGGCTTTGACGAGAGCGCTGGCCAATAAAATTGCACGCAAATGGAAAAACAAGTCCACTCGAGCCGCCCTCGTCGGACCGTTTATTAGTGCACCAAGAGGGACGTTCAAGGAACAACTAAAAACATACTGCTATTGACCGTGTTACTGCGACGGAGTGGGGACTTTAAGGGTCCGTGAAATAGGGAGGGGGGTGGGGAATTATGACCAACTTCCGTGTGATTAGACCCTTTTTCTGACCGCGGAAACGTGATCGCCAATTACTGTGGAGATTCCAGGTAAACGAGAGCTAAGAATGTTTGTTGATGGACTGGTTTGTTTAAAGAAATTCATTCCAGATCACAATTAAAGCCAGATGACTTAGGGATCTATCTAGACCTAGATATCGTCTTCCACTCGACAATCAAAAAAATCCGCATTCGGAGGGTTAAACGAACTCGTTTGACAATTGTAAAGAACATGTAAAATCGGTATCCAACAACCTACCTAATCGATGCAACCATAAATAAATCATTTCAAAAACTAGCTTTGCCCAGTCAACGCGTGAGTCACTAGAAGAGAAGAAGCACCTCCACCGATCTATCTTCCTTCCCGTATTACATTCTATCGGATGAATCCAGCTTCCTCGAGATAGCGAGTCACAACACTGTCTCAGCATAATCCGCCTCAAAGAAGCCAGAAGAAAAGGAGAACCAAGATGACAGGGTGTACGGGAGAAAGGGTTTTCTGAAAAAGGTTACTCCAGACTTGGATGTGCTCACCTTGTCGTGGCCTATCCTCTGGTAGTAGTACTTGGCGTACTCGTCCAGCCACACTTCGCTCAGCCTTATGCTGTTCCTCTTGAGCACGTTCACGCCGCTGCGCCACTTATACGGCGAACGTTTCCGGAAGATGTGGCCCACGTGCGAGCACGGCACGATTTCCAGAGTGCCTGGAACCGCAAGTCGAATTTCATTCGCGGAAGGAAAACGGCTGATTGCCGGGGGAAACGAGTTTATTCCGCGGATAGCTGAGTCTTGGTTAGGGTGTCGGTTAGGATCTGGTTCAGGTGCATCAGGCTACGATGATCCTGGAACTGTTTCAGAATTTAAGCCTTCTATAGGACTATTTATCCCACTTTAAGGGAAAAATGTACTAAAAATGTACACTATAATTATACTTTCTGTTTACCCTAAAAAAATCGTGTGTTTATGGAGTTAGGATTTTCCGAAAGGAAATTTTGTTTCGTTCAAACTTGTCGATTTCTTGGGAACTGTTTTTACCACAATCGTAACCTACCTCCGCACATCCAGGTCTTGAAAGAGAGCTCGAGATTTTCGCCGCCCCAAATGTCGAAACCACTGTCGTATGTGCCGAGGCGCTCAAAGAAAGCTCGATCTATCGAAAAGAGGCCGCCGGCCATGGTCGGTGACCATACGGGCTCCGCAGGATTCTTGTGCCTCTTTTTCTCCCTGTCTGGCACCGCGTGCCAGTTGAACTAATAGAAAAACCAGGAGACCATGAGGGACTCGGACATGACACACATTTTTTACACGAATTTTAATAGAAACTCGAGAAAAGTGGTCCACGCATCTGGAGGCATTTTCGCGCATTGTAGAATTTGTTAAAATGTTGTACAGTTAGAAAGTTCTCATTTTCTCTTACAACAAAACTATCAAAAACAAAAATAATTAACGGAGCATATAATCATTAGCATCATATGAGAATGTGTCATAAATCATAAATGTATCCACGATTTTGTTTAACTACCAAAAATATTCAGATAGCTGACGTTCAAATGTCCATAGTACACGCAAACGTGAAAATGCAATAAAATTAGAAATTACTGCATAATCTTCTAGTAGTCTTTGTTCAACTGTAGTTTAAAAAGAATCATCAATAAATATAACAAGTATACATACAATACCACGTTTCGCAATTAAATAATTAAAATTTCCAATAAACATACGATACGTAACACCCAGAATTCCTCAATTTCATTCCACCAAACATACCAACAATCTTCCATTTCGAGGAATAACTACACGAATTCTTGGCGCGTCATCGCATCAAAACCACATCCATATACGAAATTGTTTACCACCGGCGAAATAACAAAAGGAATTTCGCGTACCTGAAGATTCCAGTCGAACCCGCCCACGTTCACGCCGCCCGAGTCCCTCCAGTGATATTCAAGGGTCGTGTCGTCGATCACGTCGATCACAGGACAGACGACCGTGGTCGAGTCTCTGGCGATACGATCAAGAAGCGGCTCCAGCCAACCCTCGGTGCACTCGCAGTGGCTGTCCAAATATGTGAGGACCGGAGCCTTCGCGGCTGCAGCGCCGAGCAAACGCGCTCTAATAAGACCCTCCCGTTTTTGCGCTCTAATGATCTGCACCTTCGGATAGTTCATCATATAGTCCTCGAGCTGGCGCTGGAGATGGGCTGTAAATAAAGAAGGAACACGTAAACGGTGAATTAAATAGATGTACAATACAGTTGGTTGAGATTGTTGATCGGAGAATTATTCTGAATAATTCATGTGGGATTAGATTTAAATACTATATTTCTTAGGACGAGTGACTAAAAAAATTATGTAATATACAAACAAAATGCAACTACGACTATAACTAACAATAAACGACTACGCGAATAATTCATACTTCCAACTCTCCACGACACAACTCTGTATTCCGACTCAATGACAACAACCCCGCTCTCCGTCCACGACCCCCTTTTTAAGGAAAAACTCTTGCGTCGCTTTCCCTTATCCTCACTACGACCAACGTGGGCCGCTCGTCGCCGAGGGTTCATCGATGGGGCCTGGCTTTCGTCTCTATAACATACTACGGGCTATATGTACTCTTACATATTTTATCGTCCTAGTTCTCGAAAAGAATATTCTATTACACTTCGCGTAAATGGAAGGATACCTATACACTTAAATTGTAAATTCGAATCTTCAGATTCTGATAAATCATAGTTAACGATCACACGAGGGATCGCAAGTAATGGTCATTCGTGATTTATTCTTGGTTGGTTCGTTCCTACGTGGACTGTGTTTAATATACCCTAATCCACGAAGCTTAGTTTAACTGAGGATAATATAAAGGGATTTTCTCGACTTCATGGATCGTGTGGATGCAACGATTACCTTCGAATAATAAGCTAATTAGTTTAACGAAACTGTCGATGCAACGCGGAGCGCTTCGATTTCGCGTTATTTTTTTTTTTCAATCTCGCCAACGATCATCGTTCCCCTTTTGTTCCCCTTTTGTTTCCCATCCAGCATTAATATCTCGTTTGACACAAAAATTCATTAAAAACACGTTATCGAATCCAGCAAAGAGAACCGCACACGAAACAGTTTAATTGAAATTCAATGTCTGAACAGAAAACATCGACGTTTCGCATTACAGTTCCTGTCATGTTCAGGATCGTTGAACACTATTTGCCAATTACTAATTCTTTCGCATCCACTGAACGTAATTCAAGGCGAAATATTTCCATAACTTAACGATTCATTTCCATAAACTTCCCTCTACTAGTATTTGAAAGTTTAGACTGCTGATTTTACGTGCAACCATATGTTTTAAAGTGTATAAATTGGTACACTACAAAATTTAATAAAGCATAATAATGTTATTTTATTTGATATCTGATAAAACGCCTAGTAAAACAGACAAAGTCCTGTTTAATTCCAGATTCCGTAAATCGCTCTATAAAAATCTGCATTTGCATAAATATCTACAGTTTATTCACGAATATTTTTCAACTATTATAATGAAACTGTCAGCTATGATAATAGAACAATCCCTTTGTACTACAAATGGTACAATCACACTACAAACTAAACGAAACACCTCAATTAATTCAATTAAATTTCTCACATCATTGTGACTGTACTCCTCCATTCAGGCTATCAATCCGCAGTGAAATTATAATACCCTCAGAACTACCCTTCAAGTTACGCCTATATTCAAATACCCCCATTTTCTCTTCGCGATTCGTATTCGAGCTCATTCCACCGTGAACACCGTAAAACAACCAAGTCTTCCTTTTCACCCAGCGTAATTCCCTCGTAAGCTAATCTCGAGGCGTCCAGCTAACAAAGAACATTTCCTTCTTCTTATTAATCAGGGCCTCAATGGTTGCGTCCACGAATACCCCAAGCTCCTTCTTGCGAACAGATAAAACAAGGGCCAACGGGGATAGTTTCGAGGAGCTTATTGCGTTGTTCCTATGATAAAACAATCAGTCAGCTTGTAATAGGGCACGCCACGTGTTGTCTATGTGGTCGGTGACCATGTTTATGAGCCGCACTTCCACACGACGCGCGAAGCTTATCTCGAGCTTTTAAGGGGATTTTCACGAGCTCCACGCTGTGTCGCTACCAACGGCACACCCCCATCGACCGTACACGCGGGGTTAATCTCGCCTCTGTCTTTACGTCGCGATTTTTATGTTTCTTCGCCCTTCGTTACACGTGACTCTCACCGCCACGGTTATCTGATCTTTCATATCCTAATAAAAGTTGCAATAGGTCTAAGAAAATGTATTCTTAAAACATTTTAACCGTCTTATAAGAGTATACCGACAAGCCATTTTGATTTATTTGGTGCATCTAGTGTTAAAAAAATATTTTGTATGCGATAACATATTGGTATTGTATACATATACCACGGTACTGAACGTAACTGATCCCGAACTTTCCGTCGAGGCTGAAGCTCACGCGTCAAAGGCAGGCAAATCTTTCTCCCCGGGAACGAAGGAACGAACGGAAGTCCGTGGAAAGGTATCAACGTCTCCGCGTCGCTGGCATATATCAACCTGTCGGAATTTCCCGAGTACACATGAAACACGTCTGCGAGAGTTCTCCCCTCTATTCACGTTGACCCGATCGTTACAGCGCAACGCGCGGCCCACGGCACACGCGGGAGATGGATCGCGATTAATCGATCTATCGCGGAGCAACGGAACACCGGCGCGATAACGAATCACCGGGTTGAATAGGGATACGCTTGCTCGGCCAAGCAACTATTACTATACGTATAACGAAACTATTCTATTTGAGCTGAGCCAGTTTCCTAGATCCGACATTTTTTGTCTGTACACCCACGAGCAAACTCGGCTTCCGTTAGAGGAAAAAGTGGCGTAAGAAAAGAGCTTCCTACCATTTAGGAAAAATTTCTTTCAAATACTGAAATAAATGTTAAACCGAATGTTAATTTCGCATAAGTTTCAATAACTCCGAGACCAAGTGGTAGGAAGTCCTTCCCTTAGATCACTCTCCCCCCCCCCCCCCCCCCAGCGGAAACCGAGTTTGCTCGTGAGAGTTTCGAGGATAAAACAAAGGAATTTTTCAGATCAGGATAATTGAGACTTTATGGGGCAGGACGTATGAGATTTTTGAAGGCAGAATAATCGGGGTATTCGAGGCTTGAAAAAAACTTGAATTTTCGAAGGTCAAGCTTTGGAATTTTCTATTATAAAACACTCAAATTTTCGAGCTCAGAGTATTCAAGAATTCAAAGTCTGAACATTCAAGACTTTCGAGCTCAGAAGATTCGTGTCATTCGGGGTATTTTGATGGGAGAATTTCGATGTGGAAATATTTAAAATTTTCGTGAAAATACTATACACTTATTGGGGAAAGTTGTAGCTTATTCACTTACGCATATCAGAATAGTCATCAACTAAAATGATCTCCTGAATCAGGTGTTCCGGTGATCTGTCCAAAACGGAATGTACCGTTCTCAGCAGTACTGACCACGCTTCGTTATGAAAGCAAATTATCACCGCTGTTGCGGGAAGTTCCTGCATGTATCTTCCTGGTTCTTTGCACCTGTAACAGAGAAAACACAGAAATATGTAGTTAAGTTCCGAGTACTCTAAAAATTTTACTGTAATTGCCAATTTTGTGACAATAACTGAAACAATACTGATTAAAAAGAGCTCGTCGGGATATAATGTTTAAATAACATTACTGGAAAAGTTCCGAAATAATTGCCTGTGCAAGGTATATCTTTTCCATAATTACTTTTATTAAGTTTCAGGTAATTAAAGAGAAGGCAAAACTAGTGGAGTTATAAGTAAAAAATGAATAAAATAAACATTGTAAGTTAATTTACAAGAAATTGGAGTGACACGGAAATTTATTTACTCTATTAGGAGTTCTGTGGAAATTCAAATACAATGAATTTCATTCGATATTGCAGTGAAGAAAGCAAAGAACAGTGGAACATAAATAGATTACGGATTTTATGCATTTATAATGTGTATGATTATCGAAAACGGAATATATGTAGTAGAAATTTAATAATGTTCAATACGTTTTGTATTGTATTCAGAGCACTATAATACCCTTAATGGACCAAACTAATTGTCACTTAATTAATGTTAATACCTTTTTCGACATTTAGTATTTTTAATTGTTAAAAATATTGTAAATTAATTCACAAAAATCTATATTTATGTAAATATACGTAGTTAAGTAATGAACAAAGAATAACAAGGAATTGCTGCTACGAAATAATGTCAATTATGAAAAAAAGGCCGCAATTTATTAATATTCGGAACAATACTAATTGTTTCCTACTACAAATGATAGTGTACACATCACAAAATAAAAAGTGACTAAAGAAACTCACTAGTTCCAAAAATGTACAATTCCTTTCCAAAAGTGACCCCAAACCAATAAATCTCCTATAGAAGTTTGCAATTTATTTGAATATAATTATCTTCCTTTAAACTTATTTACCATTTTATTTCACATGTCGAAATCATTAAAATTAATATAAAATCGATTCGTGGCCAACTAAACGATGTTTTAGCAGGTTTCCCGATTAATAAGCATTCCGATTGCCTATAAATTCGACAGAACCGTATTAATATCTTAATCCCATCATCGAACGGAAGATACGGATTACGGGAGAAGAGATAGCTGGCGTAACGATAGAGGCCAAAATACGATAATGCGATTAGAAACCACTGTGTTGGCAGAATAAACGGCCCGGAGGTGTACACACGTTTCTGAGCTCCCTGTACGCCCGGATTCTAAGGGGTCGTTCGATTCACCCTGGCTTCGGTGTATCGCCTAATAAAGCTAATGTAGATAATACGCTTCGTAAACACTAAAGTTTCTCGGTCCCCGCGTCATAATGCGCATCTGTGAGCCTTATATGGCTCAAGGTAGATAGCTATTGGAGGATTCGTAAGCAAAATCGTTAGTAATCATTTTCTTGTGATCACAATAGTATGGTTCCCCCGATTATTTCGTAAACTTGTATTGTTTGTAGACAAGGTTGGTCAGCGTTGTAAAACCACACAGAAGGTTATTCTAGATGAAAAAGTAAGTGGAATATGTAGAATAAAATTTTTTCGTATGATGTTCCGTTCATCAGATAATCGAATATGAAAAGTGTCTGAACATTACATTCCGTTTCCCTTTATTGTCAGGATGAATATAATACGAGTTTGATGAATTTTCAAAATTGATTATCTCGAAAATCAAACATCGTACAACAAAATTTTGTTCTACATTTTCGACTTATTTTTGCACGTAAAGTAACATTCTGGCTGAACGACCCGTTTTAAGAAATGAAACAAAACTTCCGTGAGTAAGAAAACTAGTTTCCCTTTTCTTCTTTTCAATGTCACATCAACTACTATGTATAGATGTTCCAAGGTACAATCAGATTTTACAGCAACGTTTGTGTTGTATAAGAATTGAATTGTGTTGGGGTTTATGTTATCTATTTATCTCTGTACTTTGAATCTTCTGCACTCAAACAGAAAATGGTGTTCTTCTATTCTATTCCTTTTCTATTCGTATTGCTGTGCGGTACTAGTCGGTTAAAATCCTTTACTATGTTATGAATTTTAGTTGTTTTAGCTGTAGTCCATATTTTGTTCCATTATTCTTTTACTGATATCAATGGAAGGGTTGAATAAGCTAAAAATAAAATAGAAACTTCTTGGCAGGTAAAGATACAAGAAAGTCATTTTTTCCGAGGGGGATTACTATCGCGCGAAATCAGTTTGCGGTATATTTTTGCCTGTTTTCCGTGGAACCGACTGTAAGCCAACTGGATTTCGTGTATAGCATGGCAATGGTGAACGACTAGCAGGAAATATAAAAGCAGCTTACGTCGGCTTACAGCAATTGTGCCCGAGTAGGGATTAACATGCGTGCAGTAGATACGCCCTGCCATGGTCAGACAAGAAGCAAGTGACAGTACACCGAGAGGCACGACGTTTATCTGACAATGTCATGACTATCATATGAAACTAAATAGTTTCTAAAATAAGTACTAATATAAAAGGCTATTTCAAAAATCTAAAGTTACTATTTACCCCAACAGTTATTAACACTAGAACTACCAAACCCGTTAAAATGACGGATTGAGCATTCCTTATTTTACGATTACTGAAGTTCTTATTGTGCTTCTGATGGAATTTACATAGGCTCCAATTTTTTTTGAAAATCTTTCAAGTATATCCGTTCCATACCTAAAACCAAGGAACATAGTTTTTCTTCAGTGTTCGTCTTATTGCAAATATTGTGAAAAAGTATGTGGGATCATAAAGAAACAATATTAAAGGTTACAAAATTTATAATGACACGAGTTATTGAAATTAATTATTAAATTATTACTATCTCCATATTTTACGTTGTTAGAAATAAATTACAATTTTTAACCCATAGATTTACAACTTTCTGAAATTTACAGAACTATAAAGTAACTAAAACTAACAGAAAAATAATAAACTAAAATTGGCAGAGTATCGATCAATGTAAAAACAATTTCCAGTTCTAAAAATAAAATGTATTTATACATAATATACCACCACATCCCGGAAAAGTTTGAATATTAATATTTATATGAATAAATGCAACTAGACGTATAAATATCATTGGTTTAAGAAAAGTATGAATAATTGAATAAAAAAATCCCAATTCTACTATACCTGATCTAAAAACACCTATTATAAATTTCAATTGACACAATGTAGACAGAACAATAATTCTTGCAAAATTAAATTCAAAACTTGCAATTCATCCTGACGTAAATATGATCATTCGAGAAATAAATAAAATAGATTTCATTAATAAATCAGAAAAATAAAATTAATCACTGTATCGAATCAATAAATGTCGAAAGGATTTCAAGCTTAAATTTATCCCTCCTTTACAACGTTAACACTCACGATCAATCACAATGCAGAAATCCCTATAAAAGCCTTTACAGAACGGAAATATCGTCGTTACTTTAATTATCCAATATACAAGCGTGAAAATCGCAAGAATTTTCTCACTAAACCTTCGACGAAGCGGAACACAATGAATGCAACGCACTTGATCGGCTTCGTGCAAGAAAAGATGAAACACGAAAACCCGGAAGAACGTCGAGGGAGGCGAACAAGGGGTCGAAAGGAATCGGTTCCCCTTCTAATTCGATAATCCCGCCCGATTTCCTGGGCGACCAACAATGCACGCTCTTTTATCGTCTGTGAAGAGGATATAGTCGGTGTTGAATCGAGCGGAAACGGCTTAAGGGTTTTTCGGATACCGCGTGACCGCGACAACACGCGCCCTCGTGGAATTAACGGGTTGCGGTGACAGTTGGGCTTAACGATGTCGAACAGTTTGCTCGTTGTTCGCTTGCTGCCGTTAGTAATTTAGTATTGCGAGGTTACGGTTAACCCTCGAATGACGGACCGTGAAAGTCGATGACTGGATCATTCATGACCTGCAATAGATATTATATAGGCTGTTAGATCGTTGGACGTAAAATCAGCGATTTTACTGATAGGTGCAGTCGCGGACAAAAAGTTAAGACTTCTTTAAACTTTAGTATGTGTTTAACAGTTTCAGACCTGAATTTTCTTTCAAGAGTAAAAATATTTGATTACACGTTGGAACTCAGTACGGTGTTTAAATGATATTGTGTTAAAAAAAAAAATTTTTTTTGAATTTTTAAAAAAAATGTGCGTTGTTTCAATTCTGAATTCAGTGTAGCTACTAAACACATTCAGCACGTGTAACAAATTCAAATTTATGTGTGAAATTGTAAGGAACTTCATGTACAGAAATGTGACCACCAGGTCTGAAAGTTAATGTACTCGTATATTCTGATAGTTTTCCTCTGCTGAGGAAAAACTGGTTTCAAATGATCTCACGAGTCTGCCATTTTCGGGTCCTCCAACATTTTTGTTACACCCTGTATACCTGAATTTTGACAAAAATGGACTTGGGTTAGTCTGGCTCGAAAGTATAGTGTATCGTTTAGAAATATCATCACTACTGTTTCAATTAGTCCATTGGTAGAATGTCCCGCTCCCTAGCTGGCTGCCCCATGGGGTGTCGTAAAGATAGATAATGGCCAAAGGGTGCGGACTTTCATGAATGTAATGGCGCTGTCTATGATGAAGTGTGTTTCCCACCCGGCTGATGGGGGTTTTTGCACGCGAGAAAGATATAATTGCCTATACAACAGCGTAGACTAATTATTTCGGCGTTCCACTCGAGTGTTTCGTGTATCGTAACCACTAGAGCGTGACCTAATCTGATCTGATTGATTAAATTCACTAGACCATGATCTGATCTATTGAGATGATGCCATCGGTCTATATTATTTTCGGATTATAGCGTGTAATTAAAGAGGATCGCCTTGATTTCGATTAACTTGACAATGGAATTATATAATAATGCGATTTATGAGGATGTAATGGGGAAAAATTTTAGAATTGAAAATGTAATATAATTTCTAAGTCCTTTTCAAACAAATTGATATTCTGATACCGACCAATTATGAAATTTTAAACTGTTTTTGGTGTCTTTAT